TGTGATGATGTAGAATAAATTTAACAGAATTTCTACAGAGAGTTTTTTTAGAAGAGAAAAATTAATTACAAATATCTTTGGATACACTGAATAGTCTATTATTTACAAATGTGTGATATTCTGTTACTTACATTATTTTAGAATCAAATGTTCTGCCAAAAGTAACTGCACTTAATCCTCTTGCCACATCATAAATTTAACATATCCCAAACCGGACTTCTGATTTCTCCCGCAAAACCTATTCCTATTGCATCACTATTTACTCAGACTCACAAGTCAGAAAATTAATGAGAAATGAATGAGAAATCATTAATGTCTCATAATTCTGGCTTGCAAGCATACCTGACATCATGAATATGCAGCCCCATCCCCCCTAATCAAAGGCATACCACTTTTTATCTCACCTATTCCAATATCCTGCCAGCTGGACCTTTAGTCTACCCTACTCTAAAACTGTATCTATTATTTTACTTTCCTGTTTAAAATTCCTCAATGACTTTTCATTGTTCTTGGGTAAAGTCTAAAATCTTTAATACAGCCCAAAGCCTATACCATGCTGCACTTGCCTACCTTTCTAGTTTACATTCATTTCCTGGCATCTTAGTGATTCTTCACTGAGTAGTCACTATTTTTGCTGCCTAGAACTCTTTTTAAGCCTGATTAACACTCACTCACCCTCAGCTTAAATATATATTCCTTCTCAAGGCACTTACCACATTGTAGGGAAGGGCTTTTGTGTAGTCATAATTTGTTCATTTCCTGCATGCATCTACTTCACTATCTCTGTCAGGACAGGATTTTGCCCTTTTTGAATTCTCAGAGCCTGACAAGTGGTAGGGATTCTCACAGATATTTTTAGAATGAATAATGGAGGACCATCTTAAAAACAGCCTGACAACTTGTTTACAGGATGAGGAACTTGATGGTTAAAATTAGGGCTTCCAATACTTCCAAACTCAAAGGGAAGTTTTGTCCGGCTTAGGGATTCTCTTTGGGGAACTGCTATCCGGACAGAGTCAGAGAGAAGCTTGCTTCAGCAAAACATACAGAGAAAGAAAAGTCAAGTCCTGATGCTGAGCTGCTCTCTATGGTTTTAGGAAAGAGAAGCCGTCTTCAGACACTCTTAAAAAAGTCACTGACCAGGAAGCTCCTGATCTTGGCACTCGGTAGCAGAGGAAGAAATACACAGATGAGATCAACCAAGAATTGCATGTGGACTTATTCTAGGAGGTTCCACAAAAAGTACAGGAGAAAGCGGGGCATGGGGTGGGGGCAGTGAGGTATAGCACAGACTGCTTGCAGTTAGGTCTTCTGCCTTATGTTTGTTCCTTTTTGGATTATATCATGGCTTATACACAAAATGACAGCTTTCGGTAAGAGAAATTCATACGCATTGTTCCTTCATACAACTAATATTGATACAGGACTTACTTGCTTTTTTGTCTTACATTAAATTCCATATTGGTACTTTCCTATTTTCTGTCTGTGTCTTCTGAATCAGCACCCCCAATCCTACTTGTCATCACACACAAGAAAAGAAAAGAAAATGAAAAAGCACAGTTCTGAGAAGATTGGACATGCCTCTCTAAGACTCATAGGGATTCGTACAGCTGTGCAGAAGGGCCAGGGTCCATTTCCCACTAGTCTAAAGAAGTACAGTGGGCTTGGCACGTGGTTCCTGGTTGTGGCAGAATGCCTGCTCGTTAATGCCAGGGTCATGAAGTTCTTTCATCACTTCCAGAAATCCACATTAATGAGAGAGGCATGGCTAAGCTATTTGTAAATTTCCACTGCATTTTATAAATTGGTGACTACATCATGATCAGCCCTCAGGATATCCTGTCTTTAATAGTTCTCTCTCCAGGATGTGATTAACCAATTCTGATTTGGTATGAGAGAGGGAAATGGGAATCCTATCACATTCTTATAATGAAGAACTCCCATACCTACTTACAGCATCATGCCTCTAAAAAGAACTCTTCTACTTCTATCCTTTCATGGGTAAGGAAATGACATTATTAAATTCACAATGTTATAGTATTTAAATGAATGAATTTGTCCAGTTCTCACCTGCCAAGATGATATGAAAAATAAAACAATAGAGAATGGGAACAAATAATATGCTATAGTATTGGACTTTTTCTCCTTTTCCAATATGCGAACTCTTACTCATTCCTCAAAACCCAGCTCAAACAGCCTTTAAGCTGTGAAATTTTTCATGACAACTCTGGGAGACTCAACCACTTCATTCACTATACAATCACTGTAACTTTTACCCTTCTATGATTGCAGCCACCATCTTCCTGCTTCTTGCTGACCTCCTCCTTTAGATTGAGAGCTTCAAGGAGAGAATGCATGTTGTACTCGTTACCTCTCTAGTATCTAACATTGCTTTTGGCATATTTGAAGAACTTAGTAAATATTTGCTAATAAGAGAATAAACTAAGAATATTTAAAAGTGAACCATATGTTTCAACAATCCTATGGACTACTGTTAAAATTTTGATCAACCAAGATTTTGATCAACAGTTGTACATTCACGGTCTATTTACTGGGATCCATGAGTGAAGTTTCAGATATTCACCACATTTGGTATACTGTGTTTGATTTCTGCTAAAAGCCCCATCCCATGGCCTGGCATCCTTCAATCCTTGGCTTCCAAGTTTACTGATGAATGAACGCACAGATGTTGTTCTCACTCATTTGTTTTTTCTTTTCCTTTTGGGTAGACTTCAAGGTTCTGGCAAACCTGTTTACATGACAAAGTTTGGTAACTTTAACTCGCCTCTTCCAAATGCATCCTGGAAGTTTTCTAATTCTTGGAGAAATGCCAGATATCCATATGACCTGCAGTAGGACTCTAGAGATCAGAAAGTAAATTCTGGGAGAACCGACCTCAGGAAAACAGGAAAATAATCTGCAGGTTTTGTTGATTCTCTCTACCAGTTGCTTGTAATGAGGAGCTTTTATTATAAATGGTTTAAAATGAATCTCCTGGAAAACGAGTTGACTACATGAGAAGTATGCTTATGCATTGTATGTGTTCTGATCACCAAGGGGAGACGTCCTGTAAGAAGCAGACACTCTGATGGATCTGGTTCTATAAAAGGAACAATTAGGGCTATGAATTCAGATTTGTGGTTGTTCACCCATCAGACATTGTGCTACTTTATTTTGTGTGTAGGGAATGGTAGAGTTCTGTCTAATATGGCTTATAATTCATTATCTCCTGGAAGCCGTAGACTTCCTGCAGCTTTCCTTATTCTACATCTAGATTTTGCATCTTTAAAATAGCAATAGTTATCCTCTCTTTCTACCTTGGTGAGTTGATTTCAGGTTGAGTGAGGTAATGCTTGTATGCACTAATGACCAGCATACATAAAATGCACAAGAAAAATGAATTGCCAATGGTCAAGGAATTCTTCATCTTTACTTCATCTTTTCTGCTTTTCTACAATAGTGATCACACTTCCACTTCCTTTTCTTTATACCTTCTTTTCCTTCTTCATATAATCCAGTATACCTAGCCTTTCTGTCCAGAAACTATTTTTCAAATAATGATCCATTAATGTAAAAATAAGCTGACAAGCACCCAGAACACTTTTGGGTAGTTTATAAATATGGGAGGAAAAAGACAGAAAATCTCATCCAGTCTTTAAGACCAGCATCGACTATAATAACATCCTGAGTCAAGCCTGGTTGACCAGTAGCTTCCAGCAAAACTGTTTATTATGGATTTATGTCAGCATAGATGTTTAAATTGTCTATTACATACAATATATAGATATAATTTTTATTGATTTGATGTCTTTTAAGTGCTAGAAATAAAGATTGTAGGCATGGTTAAAAATAATATAATTATCAGAAAATAAAATCAAAGTTTGGAGTGATTACAGTGACAAGGGTACACAGCATATTCATTTTCAAGATTTTATTTAAAAAACTAAAACAACAACAAAAAAGTAGCTAAGAAATAACTCCAAATGCCATGGCTTTCAAAATTGCTTCCAGCTGTGTGCAGAAAATTCACTGGCCATTACCAGAAAGATTACAGATTATTTCTGTCTTTCTTCAACTCTAAGTTATTAAAGTTTAAAAACTATTTGGGAACTTCTGGAAGGGTCAGTATGAACGAGGCCTTCTCTCTGTGTAGTCTCCACGATTCTTCCAGACAAGGAGACATTAGCAATAGGGGCACATGAACCATGGAAACATCTGGAGACAGGCCACAGAGCTGCCTCAATACCTGGCCAACCTGCTTGCAGCCTTTGCTGTCAATTACGGAGCAGACGTCACACCGTGACCTATGGGTCTTCCTCTAGGTCGCTGAGGTGTGCGTGGTTTTGGAGGACCAGAAGCGAAGGTGAAAAAGTACAGGAGCAAAAGCCAAACCAAACAAAGGCAGACCCAGAGATCATTTTCAGACTTCCCTGCTTACATCAGTGCGGCCCCTTTTTCCTTGTTTGTTTTTATACATTCTTGTTTGCCCCACAGGCATCAAGCTGTTAGTGTGTACAGGAGGGATTAAAGCGAGACTGCTTGTTGGATGAAATATAAATTAAAATTATACTTCTGTCAGTCTGGAATCTGGGATTGTTTCTCAAGGTCTCCCCAAACACTTAATTTCAAATGAGTCTTCATTTATTACTTCAGGAAAGGCCAAATGCATAATTTATCAGCAGCTTTCAGTCAATATACCCTTATAAGCACGTTTCCCATGAGCCTTTGAGTAAAAATATGTTATGCTAATTCTATTAGTTGGGTACACAAGAGCTGTCTAAGAGAGTAAACAAGCATTAAAAGGAGACACATGTGAACAAAGAAATACCTGTCAACCTACTGTCTGGGGTCAAATTGCCAAGGGAATAGGAGATGTTAAGCTTGTCTCATCATTTGCGCTACCCACCCACTCAGACTCTGAGACACCCAGTGGCGATGGGTGGGTGACAGGGCTAAGGTGACAGGAGAGTGTGACTCTCTGACAGGGGAAGAGGACTTACCGTGTCTCTAGTGGCACGTTGCTGTTTAGCACCCAACTGTCCTGAAGCTGCACGGACTCCGGTGTGGTGGCCAGGTCATTGGGTGCCGGGGCCGGGGCGTGGATCTGACTGCGCCGATTGGTCAGCGAGTTCCTGTTGAGGGAGTTGGCGGACGAGTGGTGGTGCGACAACGTGTGGTTGTGAGGGGGCGGAAGAGGGGGCCGCAGAGTTGACTGGCTGTGGTGGTTCGGAGGACCTGGAAGAAGAGGGAGGAGGAAGAGCTATCAGTGCCTGTGGGTCCCTGTCTCACGTACTCTGCAAACCTGGGAAGTCCTCGTGTGGACAATGGCTGGAAGCTATAAACTAGAGAGGCATGTGAAACGACAGAAAGCATTTCAGTGCCGAGAACAAATAAATAATATGCTTTAATTTGCATTTATGCATATGCATCCTATGAAGAATAATGACCAACAAGGTTAGGAAGGCCAAGGTGGATGAGGAGTGACCAGTGGGACTATTTGAAACATACTAACACAGTACTACAAAAAAGGGAACATGGCACTTGGGGTGACCATTGCTGTGGCACATTTCTATTCCATTTCAGCATGCACCACTGTCTTCTTCCGCTACTCCTGCCTGCCTCTGCCCCTTCTCCTTCTTTTCCTTCTTTTCCTTCTGCGATGCTGGGGATGGAACCCAAGGCTTCACCCATGATGGGCAAATGCTCTCCCTCTAAGCTGCATCCCCAGAATCTGCACACAGTCTTTCAAATACAAACACTGATTTTATGGGAGCAGAAAGTAGAGTGATGGTCACCAAAGGCTGGAGAGGGTGAGCAGAGGTGGGGAGGGGCTGGCCCGTGGGTACACATTTACAGTGTTCTGTGTCCTACTGCACAGTGGGCTAATTACCATCGATGATAATAGGTTGTATATTCCAAAATGGCTAAAAGAGGAATTTGAATGTTTCACCACAAAGAAATAAATGCTTGATGCGACAGATTATGTTAATCACCCTAATCTGATCATTATACAACGTATACATGTATCCCCCAAAATGTGTACAATTTTTGTGTATCAATTGAAAATAAAGCTGAGGTATAGCTCAGTGTCAGAGTGCTTGCCTAGCACATACAAAGCTCTGAGCGATAGCTAACACAGCTAAATAAATACATAAAATTAATTAATGATTCTTTTTAAGGGAAATAAACATATATACACACGTCTTTTAATTTGTGTACACCCCAAGTTAGGGAGTCTCACATTTAAACCCCTGGTCCGGCAGGAAAGTGAATGGAGCCGGTTGTGATCTGAATAGCACTGAAGAGGAGACAGCGGAGCAGAGTCCTTAGGGGCCCAGGCTGCTGTGGTCACATGGGACCAAGGGAGGGTGGAAGGTACTAGACACGGCTTCTTGTTTTGTTGGAAAAGCTGAGAAGTCTGGACCTGCGGATGAAATTTCCTGGGTTTTGTAGGTGTTGACAATTAACTCAAAATAAATAAATACATAAGTAGGTATGTATGAAAACACACATATGTCTGTATATACGATTTTTAAAAAGTGAGCTGACAAAGCACACCTGCGAGCCTGCTCTAACTTCTCTTCTGAGAGATGAACCCTGAGGACTCTCTCTGGAGAAGGTCAGGGGAGAGGTTTCAAGTCATGGTTTCCACTCCAGACTGTATCCTGTTTTTAAAGTAATGACATCTTCTATCTTTGCAGGAAAAATGAACAAATGAGAGCTCTACCTCTGGAAATATTCCCGCATAGTGATAAAAACAGACAACTCTGCACATGGTTTTTGTAACAACCGATTCTCAATCTGCACGGTGAAGTAGATTAGGCACGGTGAAAAGGAAAGTAGTTCACTATGCAACGTAAGCCTATAATTTCATTTTAATGGATGCGGAAACATGACTTTTAATTTGTGTCCTTTGAGAAAGTTTATTTTTTGAAGTCTCCAGTCAGGGCTGGCAGCTCACCAGGTGACTGCTGAGCCTTGTCATTTTGGCCCCTGCCAACTCTTAAAATCCTCAGCCCCTGCTGTCCTGGCTTTAAGAAGTTGGCTCAAGTCATTTAAACAAGCAATTTGACACAAATTTCAACTACTTGTCTCCTTATGTGGCCGGGCTACATCTCCAAAAGGTGTAATCTACATGCTAGGTTTCCCGCAAAGCCTGCAGAAACATTCTGAGGAAAAGACAACATGTCAAGAAGATACCAGGTTTAGAGACCATCATGACCAACAAAACAGGAAGGAAAAAATGTGGAGGAAAACTGGTTCCTTGAAGTTTGCATCTCTGGACTGAAGCTACTTGGGGAATTTTTTTTTTAACATCCAGAAAAAGATAACTAAAACCCAGTGGGGAATGCCACAGAACAGGTGTATGGATTTTAAATCGTGTCCTCCAAATGAACCTGTAATTCATGTTTTACATTATGCATCAGTGACACTTTAAATATATCTTTGAGGGAGTTCATAGCTGTACCAGGCTATTATATTTTCTGGCATTGTTGTCTATCTAGTAATGTATTATTACAAAGTTATTCAGCATTTGTCTGTCTCCCATTAGTGGAAAGAGGTGGGCAGGGGGGGTGAAATGATGTAATAACGATTCCTCAGAGATGCTGTCCAAGGCCCTTCACGCATGCTTAATGAATTCTCATGCCTTTCTTCCCCTCTCTAAACTCCCACCCTAGTGGTATCATTATTCCCCATTAGGTAATGATGAGACTTGCCTGGGGCAGATGAGGTGAGACAGTGTACAATGAGAATCCACCCTCTCCACCCTCAAGCCCTGGCTTCCCATTGCTCTCTGTCCCCAGTCCCACCCTGGCCCTCCAAACCACACACTCCGTCCAAGTACTGAGGCCTGTAAGGGATTCCACTCACTAACTGTCACGCCGTCACTCCTGCTTCCTGTTTGTTCACCTGGAGCTAAGTTTTCCTTGCCCACCCCAGCCTGGGTGGCCTCCTCTGTCCCTCTGTGTTCCGATGGGGGGAATTCCTGCAGTTGCCAGTAAGTGACGGTACCCAGGGGTGCTGCCTGGGGGGCAGACACAGCGGCTTAGATGCTATGCACTGTGTTCCAAGTAAAACGGATGATGTGTTTCCTAGTCAGCTGGAAAAAAAGTCAAATTCTCTTTCCATTTTTCCTAAAGAGAAAGCTTAGAACCTTTGGAAGAATTGGAGAAAAAAAGAGGAGAAGATAAAAGAATATTTAATTCTCCACTCATTCTACCCTCCTGTGAAGCAGCATTCTATTTCACTGCAAATACATTAAATTATCGATAACCAAAACATAAAATTATCCAGTATCCTTAGTATTAGAAGGTTCCTAATTATCGTGGTTATTTATTTCCACTGTTACGTTGATTTTATTTGCTCACGGACCTATCCAAAAGTCAGATTTTCAAGTAGGTGAAGAAGACAGAAGGAAAGGACAATCACAATACAGAGTAATAAATGCTACCACTGGGGAATATACAGAGTGACGTGGGAATGCCTGAGAGAGGGACATAGCTAGAGGTTAGGAGATAAAATCAAAAGGACCATTCAAGGATTGAGCCTGCCACTTCTGGTTGCAGATCCAGAGCATACTACCTTGCTTCTTTAATATCAGTTTACTCATGTGCAAAGCAGTGAAAAACAGCAGAAACTACTTGCTAAGGTTGCTGTGAAAGTTAGGGAAAAAGGATGACTGCAAGGCAGCTAAACATGTTACCTGACGACTGGTGAGTTCCCCAGAGCTTAGAACACTGGTTCTTTCTGGGATAAAGCGATGGATAAAATATAACTGCAGCTCTGAGTTGTGAGTAGAGAGAGGAAATTGAGGCTTCATTTATCTAGGTCAAAAGTGACAGATTGGCAGCTCTCAATGAGAATATTATCAAAAATTCAAGATCAATATTTTATAGAGTATTCAAATTGCTTCTAGAACAAAAATCAAAATTAAAATACTGAATATTCTCTCAAGGCAATAGGATAGAGGTAAATGCTCCTGGGCTGTTTCTCCAGTTTGCCCTGAGCCCTAACCATTCCTGTTATCTTATCTTGCTGGAAACAATCAATTGTATTCTTGTCTCCTGGTATTACAGTTTGACTCCTAGTTCGAACAGAGGCACGCTGGTATTCAGTGTAGGTAATGTCCCTCTAATGTGACAAGATCCTGCTACAGCTAATAAGCCCAGGCACTTTTTGCATTTATCAGCTTTTGTCATAGCCATTCACCATACTTACTGGCTGGGAAGTTTTTCTATTTCAAAAGTGCAGACAATTGTCTGACAACACACCTTACTACTTTCCAAGAAGCTAAAACGCATAAAAAGCCCTTCTCCAAAACAAAGGATGCCTCCACTCCATGATGAGAGAAAAATGAAAAGGCCTTAATGTCTATTCTAAGTCTCAAACATTTATTTGGTTTAATTAATGTGCATATTATTTATGGCTGTATTACATAAATATAAAAATCCCACGATAATACAATTTAACCACAAATAACTGCATCGCCTAAGTGCTTACACAGTATCAACCCAATAAATACACTATCAATAGGCAAAAGGCAACTGTCATTAAAACCTCACTGCCAAACTATTATATGGCACCTGATTTGTCTTGCATCAGGAACCTTGAAGTTATTTTTAGGAACTGGGTGGCTTTTATTTTTCGCAAGAAGGAACTGTGGTACTGGTTCTTTACTAAAAGCTAAAGTAGGTACAGTCAAGTCTCCTAGAAAAGATAAGTGAATTTCTAGGCAGGGGCTTCCTTGTATATCAAGACGTGAAGTGCATGCAGGAGCTGCACTCCAACTCTGGGTACAATGTGATCCGAGTGTCTGTGCTTTAGACATTTTGTGGGAGAGCTCCTGCTAGTTGATTTTGCCATGAAAGTCATTCACATGTTTCCTCTGGCATTTGCTCATTGGCTGATAATGGAGTCTTAAGGAAAACCAAGCAGTTCTGTCTCCTTGAGTAGCAACACCAATTCCAGCAAAGATCTGAGGACTACAGATCTTGGTACACACACTCTTGGGCTGACTAGAGCAGAGTTGTTCAAATACACATGGAAACAACCAACACCTACATTTAAAATAATGCAAAGGCGGAATTTTCTGGGGAGCTAAAGAAGCAAATTGTTAATAATTGGCTATTGTTGTTGTACTCTGTCTTAATAAACAGCTAGGGGAGGCATTTAGGCTGGGTCTGCTCTTGCCAAGGGCAAGGGTATGAAGGAGTGAGAGGGCAGGGGCACAATGA